ACACACACACACACACTTACCATCTCAAACTTAAAAACCTCTGGTCATTAAACAGACACCTCCAGTAACCTCTAGAAACCCCATCCTGTTTGCATTTTCCAGGTCTTCCTGCAGTTTTTGCTCTGCACTGCCATGTTCGGAAGTGTCGGCGCCATAGTTGATATGAACTCGGAGTCCTGGTTGCTCAAAGGGATCCTGCTGGCGTGTGTGATCGGTGTGATTAACGTGGCCTCAAGGTGAGAAAGAGTAAAATAAAACCCACAGTTTGCTCCTGGTGCTTATGTACTGCATCTGAATGTTGAACACAGTTGCTTGTTTGTCACTTAATGAGACATTTTTTGTGTCTAAACAGGAACTTCCCCAGTCCAGACTTTCAGTCTCTCCTACCTGCTACATCTCTCATGGCTTCAGTCTTCTGGATGCTCGTCACCTGGTGCCTCTGGTTCCTACCAGATATCCTTTCTTCGAAGGAAACAACAGCCTGAAACAGTTACGAGACAGTGTATGTGTGAAATCAGGGTTTGTAGGCTGGATGTTTCTCTCACCTGCAGTCAGAAGAAGATCAGTGATCAGCGATACATCAGGTCTGTCGATAAGAATCAGCGAGTGAGAACTTGTCTTTTGATCTGCCTGACGTTGCCTGGCATTTCAAGGAGGTGTAGGTGTCTGTATCAGATGAAGGCAAAGACAGGCCTGTGCCTGTAAAGTCAGAACATAATGTTTTACACTTCTCTAAGAGGATTTTCTTTCATTGTAGGAAAAGCAAGAGACAGTTTTTATGATCTTTATCAGAGAAACGGGAAGTGCAGAGAAGTATTAACTGTAAATACAGGACATAGATTTCCTTTAGTTTAATGTCATGTTTGATATTTTAGCCTTAACCTTTGACCCCCACATGGACCCAGCGCCACAGTTCAGGTCCTGTTCACTCTGAATGCCACAGCTCTGCTCTACTACTACCTCCGCACCTGCAGGACCGACCCGGGCTTCGTCAAAGCAACCGAGGAAGAGAAGAAAATGGTGGGAGGGCCGTTAAAGTTAGACGCTAAATGATATTACATCCAAATGTTTAAGGCACAAATGAGTTTTCTTTTGTTTGTGTTGTCAGAACGTGTTGGTGTTGGCTGAAGCCGGCTGTTTGGACCCCAGAATATTCTGCACCTCTTGCATGGTGAGGCTTTAAACACACTTTGCTTTTTACAACTCTGCTCCGTCCGCACAAACAGTGACAACCTTACTTTGGCTTTGTTCACAGACAAAGAAACCGATGAGAACGAACCACTGCTTCTCCTGCGATGCCTGTGTGGCGAAGCAGGACCACCACTCGGTCTGGACCAACGGCTGCATCGGTACGACAGATTGTAGCGAGTAACAAGTGATTACAACGGCCAGAGAATACAGTAACATGTAAAGTTTGAGAGCACATACTTCCACCAAGGATGAACAATCTGAAAATGTTTATCAGCATCAAAATACACTTAGTGGTGAGACTGGGCCAGGGTTTAGGTAGAGTATGTGTCCGATTATATTCATTTAAGTTAACTTGAGAAGAATGAATGTGTTAAAAAATGTCCTGTTTCACGATGTTAAATCCTTAATAATTAAAAATAATGTGTTCCTTGTCCAATAATAAAACCTCCCACCAGATTTAAGCTTTAAAAATGTAATAATTTAACTAACAAACAAGACTAAATCGATTGAACCGAGTGCTTTTCTTTTATATATAGATATGTGTTTAGGAAATAACAGAAGAATCTAATGGAGTACAGAAGCTCACATAGCATCAGTTACTTGTGTAACTTCAATACAGTAAATCAGTTAAATTCTGTATATTTATAAGACTCAGTGTCCAGGATTCAGTGGCATCCAGCGGTGAAGGTGCAGGCTGCAACCAATTTACTACAGCTCACTTCACAATCATGTAGGAGAGATTATTATAGTGGCTAAGCTATGTTCTCTCTCTCTCTCTCTCATCTAACATGTTTGTTGTCTTCTAGGTGCGAGGAACCACCACTACTTTGTCCTCTTCCTGTTCTCCCTCATGATGATGGGAGCCTGGATGTTCTACGGTTGTCTCGTGTGTGAGTGACTTAACACACAGTAACAGTAACAGTATCCAACGCGGTTTTACAGTCACAGTGGATAAACGTTCTGCTTATTGTTCCAGACTGGTCGACTCACTGTGTGCTGCATTATGAGGAGCAGGGCGTGTGGGGCGTTGTCTCTGCCCTGGTCGGCTGCTCTCCCTGGCTGCTCGGCGTCTTCCTGCTGGCCTTCTATCACACCTGCTGGTCGGGCTCCATCCTGCTGCTGCAGCTGTACCAGGTGACTGGCTGCTTGGAGTCTGTTAACCCAATCTACGACTCTCAGAGAGCTCACGAACAGCGCTCTCTGTCTCTGCCTTCATACATTAAATTCATTCTCAAGTCCAATAACTTTTCATCAATATCAAATGATGGAAATAGACCAACTTAACTTATGTAATCGTTACGTTGGAAGTGGGAGGAGAGGCCAAACCTGTCGAGCCAGTGAAGAAACCTCATTGTGTTTACGGTCCATTGATCTGCTGTGTTCGTACACACAGTGAATGTCCTCTCTGTCTGTGCGGTTGACTGACGTTTTTGCCTTTGTGTCGCCGCAGATTGCCTTCCTGGGACTGACCACGGCGGAGCGGATAAACCTGACACTCCACCAGAGGAAACTCCGACAATCCGGCTCCCTCAGACAGAATCCATACAAGTGAGTCGATATTAGTTCAGCAGTTTAAAATGTTTGCATCATTAGTTTCTTTACCATTTTGTGTCTAAAAAGCATCCAAAGCATATTGAAAAGTCGGATTTATTTTAAACGCACCAGTGCAGCTTTATAATGCTTTGTCCTTTACTTCAGTTGGCCGATCAATATTTAATACTTTTGATTGATGTCTGTAGTTAATGTCTGTGTAATTATTATCAGGAGGAGCTTTCTGCTTTTTAGTCAACGTCTCATTGTACATTAGCTCTGATTTATTACTGATACCACCGTACCAAATGTGTTATTAGTCCCTCTTAAAAACCAGGACTCGAACCACATTGTTAGCTGATGTTTTCAGACGTCTGCTGAGGGCTTCGTGAATGTGCAGCTGGATGTGCAGATGCATGCTGAAAATGATGAACCTGTATCTGAAAGTAGCTCGTTCATCTGTCAGCATATCTGCATCCAAATCTGAGCAGAAATAAGGCCGTCATTTGAGATTGTGTCAGGATTTGACAATTCAGTAACATTAAACATGAGCTACATTTTCCACTTCTGAATTGAATCATGCATTTGGCTAAAGGAACAATCAACAAATTTCACACATCTCTTGATACAATTTAAATCACTTCGTCTCAAAATATGTTTATGAAGATTCTTTCCTAAACAGAAATAAGCTAAACATACAGATCTTGTGTTGTAGGAGCGTTGTCCAGCTACTGTTTTGCCACTTTCTGTATTTAAACACATTATGTGAAAAAGTGCAATGTCCTCTGTCTGCAGTTTGGGCGTGGTGCGGAACCTGGTGTCCTTCTTCCAGCTGCGTTGCTGTGGCCTCTTCAAACCGGCCGTCATCGACTGGACGCAGCAGTTCCCGCCCGGCCGCGACCAACACATGTTCGGACACACCGACATGGTCTGACCTGCCCGCCGCCCCTCACTCAGGGTCAAGGGTCACACTCTTACAGTGGTTTTGGACCAAAAGCACAAAGTGTATTTATTTATTTTTTTAAAAGGGTTGGCTCCTTCTGAAGAGAGACCACGATATCAGTTGATAGAAGTTGGGGAAACAAAGCATCGTGTAGATATTTGTTTGAATCGGTTGCTCTTTGTACAGACTGCTGCTGCCTTATACTTGACCAATGTATACGTGAGATGAAAGTCACAAAGAATTTGGGTACGGTTAAGAAACTTTTAAAGGCCTAAATTGTAATTGAAGTTTTCAGATGTTTTTTTATGAACACATCAAGCCTATTTTGTATCATCTGTTCTTGGGAAAAAAGGACCTTTGTACATTTAAACAGTTGGTTTTATGACTTTTGTAAGAACTGCATGTGTTTAATAATGAATGACCACTATATTAATTCAAATAAAGCAATGTTGTGCCTGTCTTTTGAACTGGTTCTGTGTGGGCCTCTAGAACAGAAACACTGTGTCCTTTTAGCTCGTAATTTTGGTTTCACAGTTCACAGCTGTAGACATTCATCAGTTACTTTCTTTAGGTTGTATTCAGCAAATTAAAGCTCTAACAGGGTTTCCCACACGTCCTGGAAAATCTGGAAATCAGAGACTAGTCACCTGGAAATTGATTAAAATGACCACATATCCTGGAATTAATCTATGTTGTCCTGTAAAATATTATGTATACTTAGCCCCTCAGTCAGATTAGGTAATGCCAGGTTTGTATTTTGTTTTAAACTTTGTGCTATGACATTTCAAAGCGGGTTTACCTTTTTCATCCGCTCCCATGTCAGTCAAGAGCTGTCCCCACCACTTGCAGCAAACTTTTGGCGTCAAATCTATTTTGGAAATGCTGCAGACGGTCACATCTACAAGAATACAACCTAATATTAATCAAATTTACACTTTCTACCTCTTCTGTAGCTCCACTTCTCTGCGCCAACACGGATTGTCCCCTAAATGCCACCTTTGTGACCAACTGCTGTCCTGTATTGTCAAGAAAACTCCTAGAAAATGATTCCTTATATCTTATAATCTCAACCACATACATAAAAATGTGTGTTCATTTTGCTTTGTGTCCGCTGGATATACAAACTGTTTTCTAGTATCTTAGCCAGAAACACTTGATAGTATATCATGCCGTTGGTGTTTCAGCTTGTGCAGCTCTTCTGCCCCCAACTGGCCGGTAGATTAAGTAACGCAGCTTTAAAGACAACATGAGCAGAGGTCTCATCAGGGTCACACAGTGGCAGTCGCAGAGATCTGCTCTTCATCCGGCTGCGGGAGGCTGACAACTTAAGTGGCAGTGTGGAAAATGGGAGTATCTGTGATTGTGCACGTAGACAACAGTTTCATTCTTTCTCCTCTTGCTGTTTCTGCCGGGCTGAGCTCTCTGTGAAAGGAACAGAGGCGGCAACCTCCCACTTCCCAGTCTGAAAAGACCTTTAGGCGGACAAAGAGGGCAGTAGATGCTGCATGATTCACTGGTGCCTCAGTCTCAAACACTGCCACAATGACAGCACATGCCACACACTACTAGACTGCCAGCTGAATATGATAAGCTTTACTTTGGATGTACTTAGTTGTATTTGACACTGTGATTGCATCTTTGATTTCATCTTCTGGTCCGTTAAAAACCTCAGAATGTCTTCAGCCTCAAGTGTTCTTTGACCAGAATAGACAACTTGTTTTTGACTTAGAGATTATTATTATTATTATTATTATTATTATTATTATTGTTATTATTCTGTTATATAGCCCGTGAAGGCTCTGTGAATACAGCTTGTGTTCAAAGTTTACAATTTAAATAATAATCCAAACTTTATAAATAACTATTTCATTCAGAAAAGAACAAAATACTGAGATAAATAGACCTACTGTATTTACTTTTTATGTTTTCTTGCAGTCTTTAAAATCAATAAGGTCTCGCAACCCCCCATGAAGCTTCAGCGGCCCCCCAGGTTGGGAACCACTGATGTAAGGTCCGCTGTCGGAGGGACTCTGTAAATATTTTCCTCTGTGTTATCATCTCTTCTACTTTAATAATGTGAGATAACAGCTCTAATTTTAGTTTGACAAAAACCTCTAATCCCACCCTGCCCAGCGCCGCTGCTCACACATAATTGTTTGGGAGAAATTAACACATTGCTGTTTGTTAATCACTTGTTGTCTTGATTATTCAAATTAATTACAGCGCCAAATTATTTATGAATGCAAATAAGATTCTATTAATAATTAACTTTAACAAGATGAGGCACTGCTAATTGTCTTCTCACAGCAGGAAGTAACGGTGATGGAAATAAATTCATCAACTTATCAGCAGGGTTGGGCAAGTTGTGATGCTGTCTTAATCATCAAAACTGTAATTAGTAATACAAACAAAAGGATCTTAAATCTGTGATCTAATAATGAGTTCATCTCTCTTCTGTATGTGAGGTACTAAACAGTATTTATACACTCTGTTTTCTGGATTCAGTTAATTCAGGATACGATTTAAGGGGACAAAATAGTTTTATTTTGTACTCAGAATGATTAATTATAAGTATTAGGCAACATTTTACCCAGTTTTCAAGATTGCTTGACTCTGCTGTTATTTTAGCTGCCCGGTACTGTGAGTCCCAATATAGCGTCTGCATGTATAACAAACATCATCCAGTGTAAAAGGCTGAGTCTCCATAGAAACAGTTGCCATGTGACGCAGTGAACGTGAGTTTGAGGTTTCTTTTAAAATCAGAAGCATTCACTCTCGTTCCTCCAACATGGCCGCGTTCCCCAGTCCAAATCCTTTTGGGCCGAAGTTTTTGGCGTAGCAAACTGAAGAGAGAATTAGAAAACAATGCTAAGTGAATGAGCATTTCTGTGTGTGTGTGTGTGTGTGTGTGTGTGTGTGTGTGTGTGTAGGTGGTGTGTGTG